ACATGGCCTGGCTCAATTGACATGGAATTACCCTATGGAAAGCCACAATTTTTTCAAAGATGTTTACTTCAATGCAGGTTTGAGTCCCCATACTAGATCTATATTTGGAACAAAAATTCTTTGTTTGATTTTTTGAAAGCTCAACAGGTTTAACCAACTCTATAACAGTACCACAGGACACCTGTTTCAGCTCAATTCGATTAGTTTTTTTTGTCAGGAGTCCCAACCACAATGTTTAAAGAAGACAGCTCTGTGCTCTGTACAGATACGAGCTACTTCTTGCATTAAATATTTTTGTTTGAAAACAAATGTACAGAATTTTTAATTTTTAATTAAATATTTTATTAAGTACAATCAATTTTTTTTATGTGAAGCATTATATATATGAAAAAGTAAAACAACAATGATAATATAATTCTAATCTATAAAACCAAAGCCTATTGAGCCTGGAAGACTTTGCACATTCAGAATTGTTAGAGGCACTGATTTCATCAACAATTCCATTGATATTTGATGATTTTTTAAGATGTAATCTATCAATCTAAAATATTAAAAAAAATATTGGTTAGTAAGTGATATTATTTTAGCATACTAAATGGTATTTTAGGCTATTCACACTATGTAAGCTTAAAGTTTAACTATATATATATAATTAAATTTTAAACTTACACTATAAACAGTGAATAATAAGTTAATAAATAAATAGTAAATAGTTGTTTATTTTATTCAATACACATATCTTATATACGTGTTTTGTATAACTTATATGTATATACTACATACATATACATTATACTCAAATACCTCAATGTATGTCATACTTACACTATATATATGTATATACATACATTTATAGTGTTGTATATATAATGTATAAAGTTATAAACATTTTAAGTCTATGCATTCAATAGAAAAACTGAAAGTTTTTTTAATTACACATGTATTATTTTTTAACACATGTATATGTATAATAACATGTATTAAAAAAAATAAATTCAATTCTATATTTTTAGTTAAGAAACTGTGCAATTGTAAATAAAACAAAGTATTAACTAGAAAGTAATGATAATTATTATATAAAAAAACAGATTAACATGATATTTATCTTGGATATCTTCTCTATCCAGTTCCCTAGGTACTCCAACTTGTTCTTGTTGCAATGATAGAGGTTTCTGTGGCAATTGTTACAAATAACCTTAGAATATTTGGTTACATCTAAACTATACTGGCTCCAGACAAAAGTTTTTTTCTTTGTTTCAATTGCTGGAGTGATCTTTTGAATTTTAGATGACTTTTTACCCAACTGTGTACAACAAACAGCACAAGTTTTCACCTAATATATTAAGATTTTTATGGCTAAAAATGAATATTTTTGAGCAAATCTTTTTCATGTCATAAAAAAGAAAAAGAAAAATCTGACCTGGGGAACTAGTTATTTTTGTGTAATCACCACAGTGATTACACAATAATAACTAGTAGCAACAACACCTTAATTGATTAAAATTTATATTTTTGCAACACAAATAATTTTTTTTTTAACAACATATTTGCATAACAACAATTAAGTTAGCACTACTGATGATACATTGATAAATTCAAGTGCTAAATATATTTTGTAATATTTTGTTATAAATCTTTTTAAAAATAAAAACTTTTTTTGAAGTTGTTATTTTGCTTGACATACATTTTTCGTTGCATTGGTTAAATTATATTAATAGTTTATATATAGAGAGAGGAAATTATTGTTTTTTAAAATAAAGGATGCTGATTCTATAATGAAAAAAAAAAGAAAAAATCTTTCCTTTATTCACTAGATTTAACAGTAAATTAAACCTAAAACTAATCTTCTATTCAGTCATCCTCTAGTGAAAGGATACACCATTTTTTTTCTAATATCAATTCTGTAATAGCTTATAAACAAGCACCAAGTTTACTGAGACAACTTACTTCTGCTAAATTTAACTCTGTAACATCTAACAATAAAAAGATTTTTTAAATGTAATGATAGTTGTTGCAAAATTTGTCTATTTTACCTGCAAGAGATAAAAAAATTTGTAACATCCAATGGTACTATTTGGAACATTAAAAGTCATGTTACTTGTAACAGCAAGAATGTCATTTATTATTTAAAATGTTTATCGTGTAATGGTCAATCAATATATACTGGAAAAACAAATAATTAGAGAAATTGCACAAATGGTCATATTTAAAGTTGCAGAACTGACCATTCAACAGATAAATTTGACAACCATGTGTATAGTTGCCTATGTTTAAATAATAAATTAATGAATCTGTTTTTTCGGGCTTTTTATTTTATTATACTTTTTTAGATCTTAAAAGTGATAAAAGTTTATTGTCTTATAAAATTCATTTGCATAAACAAAAGCATGACACTTTTAATTAACAATTCCTGTTTTAAAAAAACTTTAGACAATGATTACTAATAGCAACATTACCTTAATTGGTTATAAATTATATTTTTGTGACACAATTTTTTTTTTTTTTTGCATAACAACAATTAAACTAGCATTGTTGATGATACATTGAAAGGCCTCTATTGCTAAATATATTTTGTTACAAATCTTTTCAGAAATAAAAACTGTTTTGAAGTTGTTATTTTGCTTGATATTTTTCATTGTATCAGTTAAATATATATATGTATATATATGTATATATATATATATATATATATATATATATATATATATATTTATATATATATTTATATATATGTATATATATATATATATATATATATATATATATATATATATATATATATATATATATATATATATATATATATATATTTAGAGCATGTAGGGACAGTTACATTAAAAGAATTCAACTTTGCTGAATAGCAAGTTAAACCAATAATGAGTTTTGGTTGATAGAACTAGAGACAATAGTTACTTTGAGTAGCAGCCATATTTTTGTATAAAAGAGAAAGAAATGTAACTTTATGATGATGAAAAAGAGACTCAAGCTTGGTAGATAAAGTCTAACTAAGTGAGACATATGTTTGAGACATAAGTTTACATATGTGTTTACATGCGTTTTTAGATCTTGTCTAAAAGAGAATTATTAGAAAAACCAGCCCAAATATGAAAACAGTTATTAGCTTCATTTTAATTTATGGTTTTTTTTACTGATTCCATTTTCTACCAACTAACTGATGAATTCTTGTTGTAATTAGAATTTTTTTTTTTTAATTTTTTTAAATACAATAAAAGTTCTCAATTTTAATTAAATCTAAATTTAAAATTTAGAAATAATTTTTTTTTTTAAAAGTCTTGTTTTCTATACTTATTTTTTTTAGTTTTAATTGTTTCATCATTTAATCACTTGGATCATCATGAAAAATTTTTTTATTTAAAATTGTACATTAGAAACCATTAATACAGTAAATTAGTATCAGACTTAATAACAACCTGTGACGTAAACCTTAAATATGACGTAAACCTTAAATATAAAGTTAAAAACAAAAATAGCTTATAATAACATTCACTATTTTTTGTCACAATGAAAGATGAAAAATTCTATCTAGTTCTATCTATAGCTTATCTATTCTAGATGCAAAATTCTAGATGAAATCTCAATTGAAATCTAAAACTCTTTTTTTAAGATAGAATTGGTTAGTCTCATATTCACTTAAAAAATTTTGTAAAATGTTGCAAAATGTTGCAAAGGATCTTTTTATGGATCAATATTGTTGCTATTAAAGAAATAAAGCTAAAGTGGACTTGCTCCTAAGCAACCAGAACTTCTGAAATTAACCTTGCATTATTATTATTATTGTAAATGGTTATGAAAGGAAAATGTATAGCTTGTAACATAACTAGATTGTTAGAAACAACCAATAACCATTAGAATCTGTTTCTTTCAGTTCTAACCTAATAGATAATAAAACCTAAAGGTTTTATTTTCTCACCATGGTCGTCAAAGTTAAAGCAGCACAAAAATTTCTGAAACTTGTAGTAGAAGAATATAATTAGTTTTAAATCAATTTTTACAGTTGTTAGCAGACTATCCGCTTTTCAAAAATTGTTGTGTTTGTATTAAAATATGACACCCAATAATAAGTAAACACCATAATATTCAGTAATATAAGTAAACATCCTAATGGTGAGTAATTAAAAAAATAAAAGTTAAATATAGAAATTTATTTTTTAAAAAGTTAGTTATTTTTCTTTATTAGTTCATTTGCTAACATATTTTGGTTTTCAAGACAGTCAATTTACAATAGGTCTGGACAAAATCAATTTACATTAGGTCTGCATAAAGTCAACTTTTAATAGGGCTGCATTACGTTAATTTACATTAAAGCTGCATAAAATCATTTTACATTAGGGCTGCATGAACTAAATTTTTATTTGTGCTGCAGTAAGTCAATTTACATTAGGATTGCATAAAGTCAATTTACATTAGGGCTGCATAAAATCAATTTACATTCGGGTTGCATAAATTAGGGTTGCATAAAGTCAATTTATACTAGGATTGCATAAAGTTAGTTTACATTAGGATTGCAAGTCAATTTACATAAAGGATGCATTAAGGCAGAATTTAATGTTTACGTCACAGGTTGTCTAATACTAATTTTAAGTCTGATATTAATTTACTGCATTAATAGTTTCTAATGTACAATTTTATTGTTTTGATGTGGTTGAAATACTTTGTTAGTAAAAATAGAAAATAAATAAAAATATTCATTAAATTATTGATAAATAATTATTCTGAAAATGATTTATTTATAAATTATAATAATAAATTAAGTTATAAATAATGATGATGATGATGATGATGATGATGATGATGATGATGATGATGATGATGATGATGATGATGATGATGATGGCAATGATGATGGCAATGATGATGGCAATGATGATGATAAAGGTGTTGATATTTAAAATCTTGTCATTGATTAACCTTACTTAGTACCTTTAAAAGCCTCTAATAATTTAGAGCCAACTTGATAATGATGATTTTATTTTTATTAGTGCACACCACTTCATATGGCAATTCATGGAGGCAGTGAAACTATAACAAAGTTGCTTATAGAGAATGGTGCAGATATTTATGCAAAAGATGCTGAAGGGGAGGCACCTATTCATCATGCCGCTGCTATGAATCAAGGAGAACTAATTATTTTACTAACAAAAGGAGGTAAATGAAATAGAAGGAAATATATATATATATATATATATATATATATATATATATATATATATATAATATATATATATATATACATATATATATATATATATATATATATATATATATATATATATATATATATATATATATATATATATATATATATATATATATATATATATATATATATATATATATATATATATATATATATATATATATATATATATATATATATGTATATATATATAATTATAAAGTATAAGACAGTAGTGTCCAAAATTACCAGGAGCTTTTATGGTGCATAAATGCAATGGGCATAATCTTTAAGAAAAGTCCAATTTTTTTTTAATTTTTAGTGGAATGTCAAAATATTGGTTCATAATCAAAAAAACAAATGAATTTTTACAAAATTTACAAGTGAATTTTATTAAAATGTGCACAAAAATATGCGGACAGAACTCAATAAACTTAAATTTTTTAAAAGTTTTTACTTAATTAAAAAAAAAATATTTTGAATAAGAAGAAGTTTGTGTTAGATAATCCTAAAAGTGCCAAAGTAAAAATATACAATATTAGATATCAATGCAATATTGTATGCAATTGAACAAGGCAAAAATATAAGTGACATCGCTGCTCAGTTTGTAATGGGAAAATAAGCAGTTTCAAATATAGATAAAAGATAAAAAAAAATAATAAAAAAATTGTTTCCAAAGTCAAGGTCACAAATTATACCTAAATGAAATTTTAATTTGTTACCCAAAAAATAATATACATAAAAAAAACTGTGTTGTTAAATGCTAAAATAGCAGAATTTTATAAGTAAAATCTATTGTTTACACAAACAAACATTATTTAATGGTTGGATATTTATTTGAAATATGTCTGGTAAAGGAACATTTATCTTTTTTTAAATTAAAAAGCATTATGAAAATTTTAACTGAATAATGGGAGTACTTTTTAGTCATGAATCGAAGTTTATTATGTTTGGATCTGATGGTATTTGATATGTTCATCACCTTGAAAGAACCTTAGTATTAACCCAACATACAAGCTACCAACAGTAAAGCATAGTGGTGAAACATGGTTTGGATTGATGGCATAATGGATAAAAATATATACAAGGATATTGCTAAGGATGTTATGCATATATTTATATCTATTGGGGCAACTATTATAAAGCATAATACAAACTTTAAATACAATATTGTCCAACATTGGTTTTTTAATGTTGGCAACATTGCAATTATAGCAATATAAGAACAACATTTGCAACCCATGCATAAATTGCAACATTGCACAGAGGGCCAAAATAATTATTAGCTGGACAAAAGTAATAACTTTTAAACTATTAATCAGGTTTTCTCCATAATTTCCAGGTTGAGTATATTTCATACTACAAATTTAATGGTACCATTAGATTATTTATTTCATTTCTTTGGACATCTTTATTCCATAGTAACAGTGCATTTTGCATAGTTACCTAAATTAAGAGCTTTCTTAAAATGCCAAATTTATAAACTAAACTGACATTAATGCTACAATGCTATTTTATGTATTTGAATGATACCACAAACAAAAAATGAAACTTTTTTTTTGGTGTTGCTATGCAGTTCTAGGCTTAAATACAGTTATTTAATTTTTTTTGAAACTTAAAAAAAAATTAAATAACTGACCAGGTAAGTAATTTTTTTTATGAAACTTTTGCTTAATTCAAAATTTCTTTAAAAAATGAAATTTAAACTTTGAAAATAATCTTAACTCTAAGGGTTTATAGATACAGTTAATTAAATTTGAATTAATTGTATCTATGTAGTTCAATTGTCCTTAACAATCAAATAAAAATCAAAAAGCTTTCATACAATTCGACTATAGAATATTTTATAAAGTATTTGTAAAAATACAAACAAATTTGTATATTCACAAAAACTTTTATTTACATATAGGGATGGCAAAAATCCCGGAAATTTTCAATCCTGGGATTTCGGGATTGAGAAATTTGTCCCCGGGAAATCCCGGGATTTCCCGAGATTTAATAGAAAAAAACGCAATTGAATACTTTTTAAGTAGGGGAGAGGGGGGCATGTTGATACAGTTTTTAAATTTTCTGACATTAAAAGCTAAATATTATATTTAGAGTGGAAATAATAACTTGTATATGTTCCACTAAGTATCCTGCATATTTTAGTACCACAATTTTATTAATTAGAACATAATTAAAATAAATACAACACAAAAAGTAAGGTAAAGATTTGTGTATCAACCTGCCCCATGCTGGGGCAAGTTGATACACACCATGGGGCAAGTTAATACATTTAATAAGAGTTGAAAATGAAGCTTTAAAAAACTAATTAGTAAACAAACACAAAAGATTAAGTAAACAAATACAAAAGACAAAAAACATATATTTTATTAGGCCTAAAATACTTATTTATTATCTCTGCGAGAAAAAAAAAGCTTTAGTCTACATCAAACAATTTAATTGCATTAATGCAAATACATAAACAAAAATATTTTCGGCTATATTCAAATGCTTTACAAAATGGGTAAGATGATACAGTGTATTAATTTGCCCCAAGTAGTCTGTATCAACGTGCCCTTTAGAGCTAAATTTTAACAGAAGCAATGAACAAACAAATGATACATGCAAAATCATTTAGCAATGTTTTCTTAAACTTATGGAAGGGTTGATGAGCTAAATGTACTTACTTTTTTTGTAAAATCTCTTACGAAACACGTTATCAGTTTTTTTTAAAAAAATCTGACAATGTGTTTTGTAATAGATTTTACAAAAAAAGCACTTTTTTACAAGTACTTAGTTACAGAAAAAACTTCCCAGCTTGATCAACTTTGAAATGAGCGGAAATCTTTTTACATCGGACGTTAGGGAACTAAAAAGCTATTTCCTGTACCAAATCTTGCTCGCACAATTAGTGTAGTAGCTGTTTTATTAGTTTTGTATCAATTTGCCCACGTATCAACTTACCCCCCCCTCGTCCCCTACTCATCAAACACTTAAAAATGATTAATTTAATAATAGTATAACTAAAATATTTAATACATTAATGAACCTTAAAATGGTAACACAGTATAAATAAAAATAATAATTAAAAAATAATATAAATATGTAAGACTTCGTTAACTAAACGGACGATAAAAAAATTTTTTAATTTAATAAACCTTCTATTTTTTGATAACTTGATTAATTAAATTGACGGTAAAAAAAAATTTGTCAATCACTCACATATTTCAAATTAAAATTAACGGAAATAAAAATGAATTTGATTCACGCACACGTTTGGAATTAAAATGAATGGATATAATAATGAAAAAAAATTCAAAATTAAATTAAGGTATACCTTTTATTAAAAACTCTTGTTCTTTCCATTAGCAAGCTCTTAAATTTTATTTGTTTTTTGTAATATCCTAGTTTTAATATTATACTATATATATATATATATATATATATATATATATATATATATATATATATATATATATATATATATATATATATTGTATATACTGTCATATATAGAAATTTATAAAAAAGTTGCTCGATGGTTTATACTTTATAAAATTGTGACAGGATGGCATCCCGCCTCATCCTGCCTATATATATATATATATATATATATATATATATATATATATATATATATATATATATATATATATGTATATATATATATATATATATATATATATATATATATATATATATATATATATATATATATATATATATATATATATATATATATATATATATATATATATATATATATATATATATATATATATATATATATATATATATATATATATATATATATATGATGAGACATTAGTTGTCTTGATAAATCTTTATTTGTTTTTGAATGGGAACACTTTTTGGAAAATGGTTCATAAAATTTCCTAAATTTTTTTATTTTGAGCACTTTGTGTCTCTTCACTGAGCATGCCATTAGGCAAAGTCATTCTCTTTACAACTTGCTAACCATGAATAAGAATGCATTGCAAACACTGTGACATATGATACCAGGGATAAAGATTTACATTCCTTTTTACAAAACTGTTTTGTAACAGTATTTTCTAAATTGGGAAGAGTCAATTAGAATGCTTGATGAAAATATACACAAAATAAAATGTAACATCTTTATCATACTGACATTAAATTTAAGAATTTGAACAAACTTTTCTGTATTCTAAAAAAATCTTCAACAAATGTTTCCATTTTTTGACCCAGAGCCACCAGACATTGGCATATCAATATCATTACCAACTTCATCATTCAAGTCCAACTTCATCATGAAAGCTTATTTTCAACTTTTTTCTGTTTGAGTTTTCTTTTTTGTCCGTGGATAAATTTCATTTCAAATGGTGTCATTGTAGACCACTTTTTCACTGTTAAATTATAATTAATTTTAAAAAGATATTCCATGCTTTTAATCCAAGCATAAAGAGTTAAAAGGCCAAAGCAGAAATTTATCTCTGTCAATGGCATATTTTTAGCTGCATTAAGACCATTCATTTTTGTTGTATTGCATCTTCAAGCTGAACAACACTGAGAACTTAAAGTTGCTTTAGATAATGCTGTATGTTGATAGTAACCAACCTAAAATAAAATGATAAAAACAAAAAGGAGATAAGGGATTAAGTAAGTAAATGAAAAATAGATGAAAAATAAATGAATAATCAGAAAATCAAAGCTTACTTTACCGATGGTATTATTTTTGCCCTAAATTTTTTATTTTATCATAAGAGTGCAAAAGTTAAATTTTTAATATAAATGTGCAAAAGTTGCTTTTGAGGGTTAGTGACTGTATAGTTAGACTAAATGATAAGCAATAGATATGATCAATTTCGTATAACTGGTGTCTTTAATTCACAGTCCCGCCTAGCTGTTCGCCAGTAACTCACTCCCCCTACACTGTGAACCAAATTTTGTGCAAATATTTATTAATGGTACACGATTTGAGATGTTGATAGTTGTTGCAACTAAA